GAATAATTTACTTAATAAGCCACTGAAACACTGCGGTAACTTATTTACAATAAATCAAAACATAGTAAACTCTTCAGAATTATGTGATAGTGTTCAGTGATCAAATCTAGCCTTCTAAAACAAGAAACTGAGAGGTAGAGCAATATGAAACAGCCAGACCTCTTTCATGAAGTGTAAAAGAAAACAAGAGCGAACAAAAAAAATACAAAGAAATTGCTCCTGGCTATTCTTGATGCCTACTCTTTTTTCTTTAAAAGGAAGCATGCATGCAGAAACCATAAAAAAACCTACCCAGAAAGAATAAGAAACAGTTAATCAAGGTTATGCAACAAAGTTATAAATCCTCATATAAGTAAAATCTACTCCCTGTCAAAACAAATGAGAGAATGCTAACATGCCATTTATTGATATTCCAATATTGATATTCATCTGCAACAAAATTAAGACGAAAGTAATGACAAAAGCACTCCTTATTTACTCCTATGTTTTATTTAGGAGGATTTTGCTCTTTGCTTCAAGGACTGGAACTCCAACATACCTGTCACTATAGACAGATCGCTCAAAGAACACCACAGGATTCTCTGCCTCTCTGAGTTTGCCATCAATGGATTTGAGCTGAGCCCGAATCCTGCTGAGACACGCGTACATCTGGAAAGTGAAAGACCACCTCTCCGGTTTCTCATACATCATCTGAAGCACATTTCCACCACTCTTCTGTGATGTAGTCAGTTCCTGTTTTTAAACAAATATATTGACCCTTTCAAAGTTGGGAAAGTACAATATTAAGCTAAAATAGAATTACTCTACTACCTCTTACTACATCCATCCAGCCTCTATTTCAGGTTTATAATTGCATCATTTACCTTTCAGCCCTGTTTGTATCCAGTGCATAAGCAGCAGTAACGTTACTTCTCCTACTGCATCCAACTGAACACTATGAAAACTACAGTTACAATGCCCAAGAACAAAGAAAAAAACACAACAAAAAACTTACCAACACTTTGATCACTATTTAAAAACTTTATTAAAAAGAACAACTTACCAGGACAAAGTCAGTGACATTGTGAAAAAATCCACGTTGCTTTCACTCTGACAAGTATAATTTTGAAACTGAGCTATTTTTGTTTTCCTACGTATTAACAGTTTAATAGTTACACCACAGTTATGATTGATAACAGCTGCTGATGCAGTATTTTAAGATGTTCTCACCTTACCTGGGAGGTTTAGAACAGACTCCAGGGCAAAGCCCACAGAATGCTGCTCAAAAACCTTGCAGCAGCCAATCAGTCATCCAAAAGCTGTGTACTTCAGCTTTTCTAAAAAATGAAGCCTATCAAAGACAATTGCTTCTGACTGAATTTTTTTGCTAAGTTATCTCCAGATGTTTGAAAATATCTCAATATTTGGACTTGTGTTAGATGTCACATCTTAAGTGATAGCAGGTAAATTGAACAATTCCAGGCTTTATCTTCCTCTCTAATTTCCTGCGACTTACCTACCCAAGTAAATTAAGCATGCCCAGCATTACACTCTGACACTGAGGCCAGGTGACACATTATTACTATCAACTGCACTAAAACTTTCTAAGCCTCCAAAAGGAGACATCTATGCAGTGCAGCCCCCAGGCTATCCTACTACCTGAATCGCTCAAGCACTGCTTTTTACACAAAGAGTGGTGTAGTACTGGAACAGGTTGCCCACAGAGGTTGTGGATGCCCCATCTCTGGAGGCATTCAAGGCCAGGCTGGATGTGGCTCTGGGCAGCCTGGTCTGATGGCTGGTGATCCTGCACACAACAGGGGGGGTTGAAACTAGATGATCATTGTGGTCCTTTTCATCTCAGGTCATTCTATGAAGACCTGTCTTCATGGGGCTGAAATCTGCTCAGGACAACGGTCTGGTTTTGCTACCCAAGATACGTCCCCGCACTCTAACCAACCAGAATAGCTGCAGCTACAGAATCCTTTCACAAGTCACAAGGTCCTTACCTTTCAATTTTGCCAGTGAGAATTTACAGACCTACACTCTGGAAAAGATTTCAATGTTCTTGGAAAATATATATTTGAAAGTGCAGAATTAAGTCATCTGTATTTTGAGTCTCAATGTAGCTTTCTTAAGAACTAACAAAAGCAATAAAATACCTCTTTCTTACAAAAACACTGCGAAGATGAACTTGCCAGCTTGGAGTTTTTTTGAGGACAATGAAAGGACAACAAACTTTATTAAAGATAGAGAAGTGAAAATACACTTTTTGATATGAAACTACATTTAAAGAGAAACAACCAAGATCCTAAACATTGATTATTATTTTCAGATAAGCAAAGGAAAAAGGAGGGAAAAAAAACAACAAAAAGCCCCCAAAAAAGCCTATTGTTCCTACCAGACAACATTTGTCTTACTAGGAGCGTAACTGGTGTTCAGCACTGTGTTATTCTGCTACTGCATGAATTAGATAGCGAGGAGAACATTACAAACTACTGACAACACGCAAGACCAAAAGCTACCCACAAACATATGCACAAACACACCATCTTTTTTCTTTTTTTTAAAGTATTTAAAAGTATTTCCTGACTAATTTTATAAGTCATATATATAGTGTAAGTGGTTTCTTTAAACCAGCCAAATTATCTTATTATTAGGAGGTCCTTATCCATGAGTTCTCTTACTTTGGTCCCTCCTACTCACTCCTCTGCTTCCCTAATAGAGTGCTGCTGGTTGGTGCAGATTCTTAACTGCTGGCTGAGGGCAGTGAAGAAAATCTAAAACACCTGAGAATCAAACCTATTCAAGTAGCTTGCTGGCTTAGTTCTTAGATGAAAGTTTTGGTTTTTGATTTGCTTTACTGTCATGAACAAGAACAAACAAAAGAAAATGTTTAACTCTGAAAGAATATAGGGGAAGTATGAAACAGCAGGCCTTCATTAAAAGACTACACTTAATTAATCAAAATATATTCTTCTTGACAGAAGAAAAAAACCCAAACATTATTTCCTAGGTGTTTTCAAGGATATCTTTTAGAATTGTTCTCATCTGGTTTGTTCACAGATGCTAAACGTACCGCCTACGTAATTTTTTTTATCCCTTGCTTTTGCATGTAATAGATGATAGGCTTTTATCACCTAATGCTGAATGCCATTTATCCCACAGTATATCAGTTGAAGTAGAAGGTCTAACAATGAACCAACTGAAGATCACAACCCTAACTCACCTAAACCAGTATCGAGATCTACAAAGATAATCCAGGCAATACAAAAATAATCCATGAAGAAAGTGATGTTACTACATGCTTTCCAAAATTCCCATTCTTTTGGAAGATCACTGCGTTTGATGTTAGAAGAATGTTAAACTGGCTTTTAAGAGAAAGTTTCACCTCACACTTTTACCATACCTCACAATCCTCTTCAGAGTTTTGTTGAACATTGCACCATCTAGCTACAGGCTCAGGAACAACTTCCCATCCCTCATCAGCTTGTTTGAGAATATTCACAAATGTTGATTTTCCAGCAGCTGTAGAAAAAAGCATTCCAGAAGAATAGCATCAGGTATGATTATCCTTTAGCAACTAAACAACTATTTCCAGGTACCATAAACAAGTGTCCCACACCCACACACATCATTTGATTTCATAATAAACATGATTCAGAGACAGTCACAAATCATCAAGGAATTGAAACTTTTTTCCTCTTTTTTTTATTTTTATTTTTCTTAATTCTTTTAGCAGCTGTATCAAAAAGGTAACGATCGCTATATCAATTACCTAGGGAGCTTACAAAAAAAGAGGGAAAAAAGCCTTTTACACGGGCAGGCAGCAATAGGACACGGAGGAATGGCTTTAAACTAAAAGAGGGCCTTTAGATTAGAAGTGCGAAAGAAACTCTTTACTCAGAGGGCAGTGAGGCACTGCACAGCCCAGGGAGGCTGTGGGCACCCCATCCCTGGAGGCATTCAGGGCCGGATTGGATGGGGCACAAGTGAGCCTGATCAGCAGCTGGGAGTTGGAACTTGGTGGGCTTTTAGGTCCCTTCCAAACTAAGGCATCCTATGGTCCTATGATTCTATGATCACAGAACCACCAAGGCTGGAAAACCTCCATCTAGTCCAATCGTCCACCTACCACCCCACTAAACCCCTAGTTTAGTGCCCTAGCGAGACCTCAGCTTGATCTGGAAAGCTACGTTTCCTCGGCGCTCTGCTCTCAGGCCAGAAGATGTTGTAGGCGGTATTTTAAGCCCCCCGAAACCCAAAGAAAGCAGAAGGGTAGCTGTCCAAAGGGAAGATGCAGCACAGACACGGTTAGCCCTCCGCCCGCTGCAGAAACGCTCCGGGTGGAGCTGCTCAGAGCCGGGAGGCCGCCCTCCCTGCCGCCCACAGCCGGCGAACAACCCCTCAGCCTCTCCACCCCCCCACCCCCAACTCTTAGGTCGGCAGCCTTACGTTTCCCACGTTATTTCCCGCCCCGCTCTCGCGATGCCGCTCACCTACGCGGCTCCCACCTCCCAGCCTGACCGCGAACCTCTCCTACGGGTAAATCCCGGCCGGCAGCCGCGCAAACGCCGCAGAGGCCCCGCGTCGGCGGGAGGAGCCCCTCCGGAGGCCGCCGCCTCCCCGCGCCCCCCAGCCCCGACTCACCGATGTTGCCCTCGACGGCGATCTTCTTAACCCTGCTCTCCAGCCGCCCGCGCTTGGGGGGAGTCGCCATGGAGCCGAGCGCAGACGCGCGCCGCGCTCGCTCCAGCCGCTAACGGACGCAACGGAAATAACCGTCGCCCCTTCCGCCGCCGCGCTCGCGCCCGGCCCGCGCCCGCGTTCGAATTTGCCGCGCGCCCGCTCGGCCCTGCCGCTGAGGGTCCGTGACGTCACGGCGGCGCCTACGAGCGGCCGCGAGGGCCACGGGGAGCGGGCGGATGCGGCCGGGCCCGGCGCTGCGCTGTCACGGCACGGCGGCGAGGAGAGGGGGAGGAGGCGCGGGCCGCGAGAGAAGGAGAGGCCGAGGGCATGCGTGGTGAAACACAGCTATTTATTGTCTCTTATAAACAGCCTTCAGCTTCTTGTTGAAAAAACCTAGAATTTAAATATTCTGTCCCGTCACGTACAGCGATCTGTATACATTATTTACAACTCTCGAACACGGTGCGGATTTTCAGACATTCAGCTGTTGTTACCGTACAGCAAAAGCCGTTCCCGCTTAAAACCGAAATCCCGAGCGGTGCCTGGGAACGGAACGTTGGCACGGTGAGCGACAGCAAGGGCTCTGCTCTCGCGTTCCCCATCCGGCACCGCCTTTTCTCCCGGGCGTTGAAAGACTGCAAACGAGGAGGCCGTGTTAGCGTTGCTTCTGCGCTGTTTTGCTTTTCTCCTTTAGAAATGGCCTTCTGCTGAGACCTCACTCCGACCGCCTTCCCCTCCCCGCGCACACGGACGCCAGCCGGGCGGCCGGCCCGCCGCGCAGCGGCCTTCCCTCTGCGGCGCTGCTCAGACGGCGGCAGAAGCTGCCAGCTTACAAAAATAATGAGCTTAGCTTAGTGGCTATACGAATTAATTTCCCCTAAAAATACAATACTCTAGGAACGATTCAGGGAATTTGTTTCTAAAGCAAAAGCAATCCGATGTTCATCTCGACTGCAATCTTAACCTGGTTATAAAGAAGCGGAAAGAAAAGCAGGACGGTGCGAAGGTTCAGCACTTACACAGACAAATGTTAGCCTCTTATTGCAAGGTGAGACATCCAGGAAAAGAGGGCAGGCAATCATCAAACTGCTCGTGGCTTTACTAGCGCACTAGTAAAGGAAAAATCAAATGGCAATGAAGGAAACAAGATTCAGAGTAAAGTGATTCTCAGTGAAAGAAAAGCAAGGAGTCCGCACTCACACTGCACCTTTTTAAATAGTCCAACTAAAAAAGGGGGTTATAGACAGCCATAGAGCACTCTGGCAGGTAGGAAGGGGAGAGAGGCTGGTAAGAAAGAGAGCTACCCAAAAAAGGATGCGTTCAGAATAAAATTGTGTCACGTGGCTCAAGAGAAGGGGGAGGCGAGAAACAGAAAGGAACGATCTGAAAGGTACGTAAAGTCCATAGCAGCAAATAGGTATCCTTTACCTGTTAAAGGAACATCAGGGAGATTGAAGTGCTCAGTCCTAAATACTGAAAAAGGACAGCGCTCCTTTCTATCTGGAAGTAAAAGCTAAAATTCAAAGCTCCACATTGCATAGTAAGCAGTTAAAGAAACTTGGTACTTGCAGACGGGCTGTCAGCCCTTTGAAACCTGTTTTCTCCTCTCAGCTACCTGCAACAGCAAAATGTGGCATTTTTAAAATTGCAGTGAAAAATCAGCTTGCGTCCCTAACTTGAATGTGAAAGACACAAGCACAACATACCCAACACCATCGCAACGGTGTCAACATTGGCAACGGTGACCAAATGTGATCAACTTCACACTTTGTCCCATCCCATCTAGAGGTAGGTGACCTCCTGAAGTTACCATCGGAATCACTGACATGTTCAGCATGCTGGTAGCTGACAAACACCCCAAACAGCAGCGTGTAAGGACATTACTGACTGGAAGGCCTCGGCAAGCACTGGCAGCCCATCAACACCTTCTGCTCCCATTGACAACGAAGCAGAGGAGTTTTGTTTCAAAGCGCTCATGACACCTAACAGGATCCACCTGTAACAGAATCCACCTGTAACATGGGCCTAAAGCAGCAGATTTTCTTCAGGGTTCATTTCTCTGGGTTTTATTTTGGAGTGAGAGGTGTCCTCCCCCCAGACAATGCACTATTTTATAAACACATTCAATCTATTCAGATTCAGCTTGTAAAACATGACTTTCGCGTAGCATTGTGATGTGCCCTTACTTCAAAAGTGTAAACACACATGAACTTCTGGTCCCACATCTTTTTTGAAGAAAAAAAAACAAAAAAAACCCCAAAATAAAAATAAAAGCTGCAAATATAAACAGCATAGGGATGCTGAATCCCAAATACTGCACACATATCATTAATGCTGTTATTTTCAAGTGTTGTATAATTAAACAGCGTGTTCACACTGCTGTCAGACAAATCAAGATCTCCAAGCTTTTATTACATGCCTACAAACTGTTCTGTAAAACTGCTTTTACTGGCAGATACTAAATACAAAAAGATACACCATCCCTTTAAGACTAATCCTTTTTATAATACATTCAAATTCTGATTCAGTGAACTGCAGCAGAAGCCTCTGAATTTCTAGAATTGGGAGCTTTAAAGAAAGAAAAAAAAAGGAAAAAAGAAAAAAAGAAAAATGCTCCCGAGTGGAAAATGAGGTAAGCAACTGCAGTGGCATCAATCATAGCAAATCCTCACTTCTAAATATTCTTTTTTCAACACAAAAACTGGTAAGACAGCTTTAAATCTGATGGAGAATATCTCCTGTTTAGCACCTTGGTGCAGACTTGTGCCACTCTCCGGTCTCATTGCAATGTGATAACAAGGGCTCTGGTGCTGGCTGAAAGGCTCCAAGAAGCATTATCAGCACAGAGAATGTACACACACAGCCTATGAGCAGCACTGAATCAACTCAGCAAAGCAGTTTTCACTGGTAATTTTATCAAACTTTTAATATCAAGCTGCATCTGCAGCACTCTTCACGCTTCTGTAGCTGGATGCCGATCTCCCTCTCAAGCTGGAAAGTTTCAGTCATTAAACACTTCTCAGACAGAAGTATGCATAAAAGGCTGCGTGTGCAAGATGTTCTGAATTCAGCTTCCTGCATGACTGAAGTCCATTTATAAAAGCACACTTCAAATTTAGGAGCTAAGCTGCTTTTACACAGTCAGGAGGATGCTCTCCACCTCCATAACTGCAATGTCAGTCTTTCGTGTTATTCAGTCCTGAGCTAACAGAGCCCTCCAGTCCTCCACCCAGAACTAGCTACAGCTCCCCAACCAGGCTCACGGTCACATCCCAATTAGATGCCAGTATCCTGCTCAGTTAAAAACAAGTTTGCAGCTGAAAAGATGTCATGGATGATACACACCATCCCTACAAGTAGTTTACCCAACCAGGTATGTCCTATGAACAGCAAATCTGACAAAAGCATTGGGGTGAATGCTGCAGCTGTAAGTGGCTCGCCCAAGTAAAAGGAAATGGTGTTTGTACCTCATTTGTTTTTGCCTTCAGTTGTCTTGTACCCTCACAGTTCTTTTTCTATCCCCCAACTTGCTGAAGAGTTATCAGAGAGATACTAGGCACCTCTCTTCTAAATCTCCCAGGTATATATGTACAAATGGGAGAATCAAAATTGTTACTGGATGAGAAGGGGTAAGACCTTACTCTTTTCAAACTTGGAATTTGTCAAAACATTTGAGGGAAAACTCTCTTTGCATCATCGGCCTGATCCACCTCATTCTTCCAGTGTGGACTGTGATCAATCCAATCCAATCTCTCAGCATTAAGAAAAATCATGCAATTTCCTTTGATAGTCACACAATTAGGAAAATTGCTTCAGCTTCTTATGTCACACAGGATGAAGACGAGTAAATACAATTTTCTCATGTCCTTAACTTATAAGCAGTTTCTACTGGAAAATGACCTTGTCCTGCAGAGGAGCCAAAACATATTCTATGATTTTTGAACTTTAATGAAGCTTCTAATGAAACCAAGTACTCTCTGAATTACATAGGCTAAACTGCAGCTATTTTGCAAGCAGTTACTGTACCTAACATATACTGTAACCAAACCTAAACTCACTATGAATGCTACTGCATGACTACTCTTCACCACTCTTCAAGAAGACAACTTGTTTCCATTTCTAAATGAAAACCTGTGAAATGAGCAAACAAGGCCATTTCTCTATTTCAATACTAGGTCGTCTTAACTGTTCTTAAGCCTGGTGAGAAGGAAAAAAAAAAAAAGAAAAAAAGAGACAGAAGTAACAGAAGTTTAAACTGATTTTCATTCTGACTAGGAAATTCAACTCCATTGAAGAATAACATTGTTCTTAAAATAAGTTATAGATGATTCTGAAATATATTATTTTAACTTAAAAGTAATGATTCTAGTCACTAAAATGAACATATATTTGTTATTGTGCTTAAATATTTCTTAGCTGGCTATATTAATGGCCACTTATATATTTTGCAGGCTTGTGTTTTCAGTCTAGCAGAGGTACCCAAAGCATATGCACAACTTCTCTGCCATACACCAACCTTGGCTTCACCTGTACATTTTTTAGTTTTGAGAGTTACTTGGGTCATATACACTGCTCAATTGATGCATTCACATTACTAAGGTCCAAAAAAGGTGCTGTAGCAGTCACAATCTAGCAAAGCCTGGCAGTGTTAATCATCTACTGCATTGTATTTGGCAACTAGTGATATCATGGGATAGCATACTGCAGAACCACCTAATGCAGATTTCTTTGTATCCCAAATACAACAGCTTTTACAAGGCCCGTAAATGAACAAGAGACATCTGGGCAATGGGAAACCAGACTCTGATGTAGTTGCAGCGAAGATTTCAAAGCCACTGTCCGTGGATCATTCCAGAAGTTAACTTGTCACAAGCTATTCTTGTGTCTGGTTTGAGACAACAGAAGGATAGAAAGGCAGAGAGACCAACACAGGTGAGGGAAGTAGACATTTTGGTTATGTTTTCTCACAAATGAAAGATGCACTTGCTAAATCATAAACCACTGGTATGTTCCAATTACTTTTCCAAAATTCTGTAGTTCTTTGGAGACAAGTAACAATTTTAAGTGTGAAAGAACACCACAGTGCTAACATTAATCCTAAATGGTCCACAAAATTATCTTCCCTTCAACATATATTCCCTACCGTAGAAAACACTGATCATCAGAGTTCCTTCACAGAGCTGGGCTTTTTATTTCTAACTTAGGAACATCATCTCATGAGTTATTTTTCAAAGCAGAGTTTTCTTAGTACTACTCCAGTGTACTTTTAATAGTAACTACCTTCTCTAACTGTAGCTGTGCAAACTGACAGTTCATTTGGCAAATACTTGGAAATTGAACGGAAGTGCCTGACTTGAGGTGCTATTTTATTCACCTGTTCAAAAAATAAGAGCAACTATGAAAAGCAAAAACCAGTGCAACAGACATTAACTATTTGCTAACCACAGGTTCTCTATAATTTTGACACCACCTTCTTCATTCTGATTTGGTGACTTTTCATCGTCACTTTTTGTTATAAGAAATATCTAGTTTTGAAAAAATCTATATTAATCTCTCTAAAAAAATAAGACAAATATTTGTATTAAAAGCTGGAGATCATCGATTTAAGTAAGTTATGGCTTTTTTTACTGTAAGTATTTATATATATATGTATATATATGTATATTTTTTTTTCCCTAAAACAAGTATCAGTAAGTATCTTGGGTGTTAATTCATATTTTCTATTTCCAGCAATGTTCAGTATTGTATGTGCTTTGCACCTCAGAAGTGAGTCTGCCAAGGCACTTAGAGAATATAAGGAAGTCTTTCAGGGACTTCATTAGAATGGGCTACCATTGACACAATACAGAACCCATCCACCAGAAGAGTCAAACCCCCAACCAAGCATGTTTCCTTTACAAACACTCAGCACCTGCTAAAATTCCACAATGAATAACTATCAAAAAAAAGCTATTTACTGCATGTCACTAACAGACAAAAGATTTCCCCTAATAAAAGCACAGAGAGTAGATCTTGGCTGTTAGGAATAACAGCACGGGTTTTTCTTTTGTTTTTAAAAAAACAAATGAACAACAACAACAAAAAAAACATATACCACACGCTTGCTTAAAGAAACAAGTAACTTTAAAATCCTCTTCCTTTTATCTGTCCTTAGAGGTGAGTTTTTCAATCAGTTCTTGAAGCGGTGCAAGCTCTCTTCTGTCAATAAGGTTGAATTCCTGTAATAGGGATGAGGAAAAAGACAAACATACACTTTTAACTGTGGTTCAGAAAGAAGTGTAATCCAGACAGAATTCATTTTACAGGCTCTTCATGACCAGGCCTTGCCACTACAGTATTTTCTGTTCATCTGTTATTATCTCAATAGCACCATTTAACTGCCTAAAGCTTTTTCTTTTACCCCATTTAAGGGGAGGAAACATGCTAAGAAGCTGCCCTTGGCTGAGCAACCAACCAAGGGATAAAAATATAATTTTGTAGCAAGAACGCTCTTTTCAGTTTTCAATCAATAGTTTCAAAGACTGTCCTCCCTCTTTCTTTTATAAGGAATTACTGTTCTACTTAATTATTTGATACTGAATACTTTATGGTATTCACTTTGGAAGCAAATGAACACTTCACTGAAAACTTTTCAATTCCTTGAATACTTCTAGCAGTAAATATACATACAAATACAACGAGACACTTAGAGCCTTACAGGTATCTACTGAAGTACAAACATACCAGCTGTTACGAAACAGAATGAGTGTTACTTTGGTAAATTATTTTTCCAAGCTATAACTGTAACTATAATGTTCCTGCCACGCTTACCTGAACAAAAAATATAAAGTGCTTGAAGGATGTATTAAGATGTGCCTCCTCCTGGAGCTGAATCACTGGATCAAAGTGCTGGTGATAAATGTGAGCATAAACTCGGAAGAGGCGCTTTAAAATTGTCTTTGCCACTGACATGAAATTCTTTGGGAACGGTACACCTAGAAATAAGGAAACAGATGACTTACTTTTAAATGCCCATACCATCTCACTTATTTTAAAAGCCACTATAACCCAGCCTGATTTCTTGGCTCCAACTGTGTCTTTCACAGATAGGACTGTTACATCTCACTCAGCAATTCTGTCTGCAAACCACATGATGCACTTCGACTGACACACAATGACAAGCTCGTTAGAAGACCATAGGGAGATGACGTTTCTCTCCCTCATGTAATCCAGTGGTTTATGAACTCATACCAAAACAAACTGGACTACACTGAACCCACATAGCTACAGCTTCCGGTTAGTATGTCTTGTGATGTATCAGAATAGTTCCTTGGAGAACTTTCTCTGACTGAGCATCTTCCTGCTGGGTGGATGAATTCAGATGCTTAAACAGAGGCATCTAATACAAATATATAAGCCCTCTCAGTACCTGCTGGCCTCTGACTGCCAATGCAGATAAGTGGAAGTCTCCTGCAGGCTCTGAGTCTCACTGAAGGCCCTTTGCAGGTGTCAGAGATAACACCGGATACCCCTCAGTGACACCAGAAAACTTTGCGTAGGTAGCTGAAACTGTCTTTTAGTATTAGCAATATTGTTTTTCAGTTCTCTTGGCTAGAGTGAAGTAAAAAAAAAAATGCTCTCTTGCAGCTTCACAAACAGAAGCTGTACTAATATTGAACTCAAACTGGAACATTCATAAAATGCTCTCTTACGTGTCTCACGAAGAGACTCTGTTTCCATCCTTCCCATCGCCACCCCCTAGCCTGAGGCTACTGCTTTCTTACCTATTGCTGAGTAACTCTGACACATGCTCTTTTCAGTCATTTCAGTGAAAATGACATAGGACATGTAAAATCAGCTTCAACAGTAGCTCTTCGTCAGTGTACAAGTCACTGGGAGCAATAATCTATTTAGGCAGCACATTCACAGACTAAAAAAAGACATTTATCAACCACCTAAGTAGATCAAGCCTGACTAACTTCTCATCACGTAACAGATTTGCCAGTCAGCTTAGTTCTTTTGGAGCCTTTCCAGCATGTGAAGTTCTGTGTGAAGGTCAGAGGCCAAAGCTGTATGCTGCTGGTTAATCGTGACCTCAAAAATGCTTTCAAATACTGAAAATACAATTTCCATGCTCTATTAAAGCTTGTCCTGCTTATATATACACATCACATTTCCAACATTGGCTACAGCATCAAGTGGAAAGTTCATTTTTAATTGCTTATCCACTGTGGCCTTTAAGTCCCTTTTCACATCATTGCATTTCAAAAATACATCCCATTAAAAAAAAAAAAAAAGTCTTCACAGAAATATATGCTGCGGAGAAAGATCAAGTCTTGATGTAGTTTTTTAAGCACTGCTTTAATACAAACTGTAAGTATTCAATATAATTCCTTTTTAGTAGCAGATTTATACCCCGGCTCTGAACTCTACACTGAAACACTAAAATAACTGGCACAGAAAGAGAAGATACTGTGCTCACATCTACAGAGCAGGGAGTATTTAGATTTCTGTCACTTCTGCCCAAACTAACCAGCCTTCTTTGCATATCTGTCCACTGTAAGCAAAAAGAAATGTTGCTTGATTCTGACAGGTGGCCCTATTTCTCTGAAAAAGCTTATTGAAATGTGTTAAATGCCTCAGAAACTATTCACAAAATACAAGCAATTAAAAGATCTCCTTCCCTTTCTCCACAATGATCAGAAGCCTATGAGTAGTACTGTACTGGAAAATTGCCAGTTAGGATCCTAGAACAAGTAGTCCTTCACATCTCCAACAAGATTTTATTCTTGTTGTCATTTCAGAATCAGTGGTTGTTCATTATTTTCCACCTCCTTTTCTGAAAAAAAACACTTTTAAATATATATCTCCCATCTTCATTTCAAAAGAAAATAAAATCATGCATTTAGGATCAAAAATGTAATTCAGCTTCTTTAGAAGTAAGGGCTAAGAGAAGTTCCCAGTGATAGACTAAGCATCCTTCCTTCATTGAAGATCTGCTAGTTTGCAGCAGTCTACTGGTTATAAGATATAGAGACCCTCCTACTTATTTTTAAGAAAACAAACCACCTTTTATAATACTAAAAAATATATATATATATTTCATCAGAAATGACAGTTAAGTAGAAACAATACTTCCTGCATCAGAGTTGGCTAGATGTTTATTAAAAATATTAACACATGAACTAGAGTTCATATACACATTAGTTTTACCTTAACAGATAAAAGCACCTTTCTGAACATAGTATCATAGAATCACAAGGTTGGAAAGGACCTACAAGATCATCTAGTCCAACCATCCTCCCATTACCATTGCTACCACAAGCAATATAACATAATGTTACCCTTACAGTTGTCCTACTTGAGAAGAGTAACATAGGATACCTTTCAATGCTACAAGACTTGAATATTTCTGTACAACCATAATCCAAATACATTGTTCAATGTTACTTGTTTACCTATTTTAGAAGGAAATAGCGTTTCATCATCCAGCTGATCCTGGACCCAAGTCATCAGGTAATCAATGTACTTTGGCGCAGAGCACTTAATTGGTTTCTTTATGTTTGTCCCATCTGCCCAATGGTACTCGTACCTGGGTTGGGACAACAACAAGAAGACATTTCTTAATACAGGTGAATCATTCCTAACAGCCTGGAAGGACGCCCTTCCTGCACCACTCCCCATACCCACACCTTCCCACACTCCTTCCTTGAAGCTAAGGTGGACTGATGTCATCTGCAGCTGCTCCAGACCCAACCTGCAATCCTTCTTTAGCAAGCCAGCATAGCCTGCGAAGGCTTCCAAAAACTTCCCTTTTTCATAGGCACAACACATTCAATCACACTCCTGCCAAAAACATGTCGACATATGGTTAAGCATCCCTGTACATCAAAAAGCTGCTGTAGGAGTAAGCTTCCAAATTGCACACAGGGCACTTCTGCTTGAAAAGGCAACAACTAGTTTTTCTTTCTTTAAAGCAGCTTGGGTTGCTTTTGTTTGTTTGTTTTTAAAGAAAAAAAAAAAGGACTGCAACTTGTTGAAATGAAACATCAGAAAATTGCATTAAATTCTCCACTTGAAATTAGGCTTACAGGTTTTACCTAACTGACAACCAAACTACATTGGTTCTTGCCAGTGTTCCTAAATTATGATTGCATTAAGAGACTAGGAAGAGATTCAGATGTAAATTAATCCTTTTATTTAAGAACTATTTAAGAACTCGAAGCAAGTGTAAGGTGCACTTCAGTAAACAGTCTTGAGGAAGCTTCTAGATTAAATAGTTGTCCTTAAGCAGCATCTAATAGCTTAGCATTACCATGCAGCACACAAACTAGACCAAGATTCCAAAAGTCTTGGTATCCAGATATACCATCAATTCACTGGGTAGTTCCAGGATGTCTTTTAGCTTAGTTTTTCCTATCTATAAATAAGGTGGCATCACACCTTTACAAAACATTGGCATCATCATGAAGCAATAAAATGTGTACTCTTTTTATTCTTCTCTATTTGTAAGGCTAATAATGCTGACACGTAGCTTATTTAATGAGTAGATTCCAGCTTCATTCATTTTACAGGTACCATTTGAAACCATGGCATTATAAAAGCCATGGAAAACTATTAAACAGGAGGAATTTGCATGCACAAGCAGATATAAACAAGTCCTCATAAAATTAGAATGGAACAGATTTTTTCACTGACTTGGGGAGTGTAATCGACACAAGTCCAGACGTAGAAGACAGCTTATCTTGGGAACGCATAGCTGGAAAAAGGAAAAACCAACTATATTTGATGATCATAGTCTGACAATCTCAGCTTTCAAGTGAACCATGGCATTCCTTTCTATTTCTTGCCAAGTACCAATGTGCAGGTCTTAATATCTCCAGCCAAACTGTAACATCTGAGCAGATTTGGGTTTTTTTTTTGTTTTGTTTTGTTTTTTTTAACCCACATCTGCTTTAGGCCAGGCAGCCCTGTTCAGCCAGCCAGCAAGTCCAGCCTGAAGCAAAAGGGACTGCTGAGCTCTGCAGCAATGAAATCCTCCCAAAGGAATAAATGCACAGTGGGTCAGGATGGCTCCCACTTTTTTTATTAATCAAAAATCAATGACAGGGGTGATACTGTCAGGTCACTCATGCTTTTACAGCAAACACACACCACACAGAATGGCCAGGGTTGGAAGGGACCTCAAGGATCATAAATCTTCAACCCCCTGCCACATGCAGAGCCACCAACCTCCTCATAGAGATGCTATTACTGGTCAGTACTTTACAAAGAGGTTAATATGCTCAACTGTTACATTTCAGTACAGCTGTGCCTTAGCACAGTGTTTGGGCTCCAAACACTGCTATCTGAACTCTATCTGACTATGTGCGCTTAGTATCAGGGAATGGGGGTAACTGGGAAAGATCTTCTATTTTCAAGACTATTCACATCATTTTATACAAGACTTAACCATATCTAATTGATTTGTCTTTAAATTTTAACAAATCTGGTTTTGTGAGAACAATAACTGAAGAAACAATTTCACAATACACAAATTTTACAATTGTGAGTGTGCTGCTAACAATTGTATTAGAAGTTCTTATTTTTCTAATGGTAAGAAATCAGAAGCTCTGAAGGCATAAATCATATCTCAAAATACATGAGGAAATTCCATACACGCTGAACAGACCACAACATTTCTAGCATGAAAAAAAATTAAGTTAAAAAGAATAAGAAAAAAAAAATATCAGTATTCCTCACCACCCAGCATGACCTTAATACTGAGATTTAAGTGTTAATAACCCACTTAAACTCTTAGCTAAGGTGCCAGATTCGTATAGAGACAAGTAGAATAACAAGAGGAAACCTAAGCTAAATGCTAGCTCTCATCCAAATAGTCCTTATCCCTTAGAAGCTTGCTCTCCTTGCATTTTTCAGAGGAAGAAGTGCCACAGAATTACCTTTAAAGTAACACAGCTCTTCAGAAACACCAAAGACATACCCTGACAAAAGTGAATACAAGCTCCCCACACACAGTGGGCGTGTAACCTTCACCAAGTCAAAAGGCACAGAGCATCAAGAAAAGGCAAAAGGAGTAACACTGATGGGAGATGTGGGGTATTTCACTGACTTGATTCATTGGTTATTTCTTTACTTATTGGTAAGGACACACTGGGCAGAAGACAACACGTGAACATTCGAAGACGGTACATTGTAACCATGGGGGATTTAAGAGAAGCTGTCCAGAGCGTTATTTGAAATCCAAGCTTAGAAGCACTGGGAACCTACAAACCTCATGACAATCAACAGGCTCTCACCACCACTAAGAGTGAGCTTAACTATCTCAATCAAATGCCCAAACATGGATTTCAGAGACTCTGTCCAGTAATCCTGCTTAGAAGAATGCACCAACCATGTCCTTCCTCCTTGCTCTTACAATTTACAACCATGGAGGAAAATAAAGAAAATACCCCTTGCGCCACAGTGCTCAGTATACACATTACTTTTATGCAAGTTCTTAACATATTTATCATGTTTGCTGCATTGCTGGTGATATAAGGATAGTAAGAAATGATAACCAACTCGAGTTCACTTGGGTAGAAAATGTTTGGTCTTGCAATTGTGAGAAGAGTGGAACATTATCATGAAAAACCATATATTTTGGAACAAATCAAACTGGTAATTTTCTCAAACAACTAGACAATGACTTGTGCAGCAGGCACAAGAGATCTCTTTTTGATCTTTATGTCAACCCTTTATTAACTCTGTTAAAGATTAATTCAGCAATCTTTCCAACAAAGAGAAGTCCAAAAGAAATTTAAGAGACCCCACAGCAGATAATACTTCATGTCAGTATTTCCACTGGGAATACGTAGCCCTGAGTCTGTAAAACACCAATATACTCCACACTCAAAGTTATTAAACAGAAAGGTTTGTGTGTGGATGCAATTATATCAGCTTGCAAGTGACTTACAGGATTTAACTTGCAGAGAAAATAAATAAATAAATAGATTACAGGAAATTAAGACTGTAAAGCTACAGAGTGCTTGGTGCTTTTAGTTCTCCCCACACTACTGCTGCTTAACCTTAAGGTTTCAAATGACCTTATGGAATTTGTTCCAGCTAACCTGCGCTCTTCTATCTGAAATAGACGAGTGCACAGTAATGGTGGCAGCTCAGCAGCAGCTGTAAGCAGTCAGCAATCTTCAGCCTAGCAGCATTAAGGAGCTCATAAGACTCAATGTCTTGAACCAGAAGATAACATGAAATAGAGATAAGAAACAGGGGAAAAAAAAAACAACCTGTAAATATCAGTGCTGTTACGGTAAAGTGGTTTCTACTAGTGCCTCCATAATAAAAATTCTGCAGGTCATCTTTAACCTAAAGAATGGCCGTGCTCATTCAAACCAAAAGCATAGTGTTCACTCCACTGCCAATCACTGCAGCCTCACCTATCTCTGCTCCTGTGCCTGCCTGGCCCAGGCCCCCTTCACCACATGTACAGTTTGGACCCCCTTTTGCAAAATCCATTCCTGCGCACAAGTAGGGCTGCAAACTTTGGGGAATGCTCTGAAAATCCTAGAGATAAGTCCACCTGATTAAAAACTTGGCAGAATTTCCTACACATTTCCTACCCTCTAGCATCTCTTTTCTAGCTTGCTTCATAACTGCTCGAGCACTATATAAGTTTCTGTCAATGGTTGTCAGCCTCTTTGGAGAGAAATAAATTGTTTAGTCCAGCAGTCAGAAAGCTAAGCAATAATTAACTTCCACCCACATGTAACTGCTTCTCATCAGTCAAACAAGAAAGCAAACAAATATTTTCATGCTCTCATTTAATAACCAAGAGCCTGTTCTGCATGCCGAAGCACAAAACAGACAATGGGTTATGTCACTGCACAAGCTCATTCCAAAGTTCATTTGTGTAACAGTAAACTTCTTTCTTTTGTATTTTCACCCCTTCCCTATTTTGCAGCAGCACATCTGCCTGCCCACACTGCTTCTGGCGTTCCACAGCAGCCATCATTAGTTTAAGAACACAGCACCAAACCTTTCCTTGGTCTGGCTGTTTTCACCTTGCAGAATTCATACCCTCCCATTCTCAGCAGCTCTCCACCCAGCAGCTCTTTTTTCCTTGCCTTCAGCTCCCCACCTTGGGATCACTGCCTTCAGACAGTAACAACATACATCATTAGAAAGCAGGAAAAGGTGGAGGAGAGGATTGTTTTTCTTTGTTGCTTATTTAATGTAAAAAGGAAGCAGTGCTTTCCCATCACTACTTGCTTACAAATTCAGGTATTCTCCTCTCTGAAAAACACTAGGAAGCTGAAGAGCAAACAAAAACACAATGCTGGATGCCTGCACGAAAGCGTAAGCAACAATCAAGGAAGTGAAACTTCACTGAGTGAAAGGGCATGGAATTCTTACTCAGACTACTCAAACCTGACGCCAAGTTTCTTTCTATAGTACCTAGTCAAACACCCCAAAGAAAGATTTTGCTTATTCCTAGTTGAATGCCTGCAGATGAAAGCATCAAGACTTAATTTCAGAAGGACTATTAACATCTCAGAACAAAAAGAGAAAACAGTTCTGATGTTCAGGCTACTTCCCAGGCTAAATAAAACAATTACTACGAAAAACTTTCAATTCCCTAGTCCCTTACAAAGGATCAAGCTTTTTCTCTCCACACGTAACAAAAAGACGACATCCTTTCTACTCACAAAGGTTATCCTTTCTCTGGCACTCAGCTGAGCCAGACTCTTTCGAATGCAAAACCATCTCAAGAATTGCACACTGAACAATGAGTAAAAATGATCTTACTTTGGGCCAGCAGACATCACAGGACAACTCTCCTCTGTGCAGAAGTCCGTAATGGTTCCATAAAGCATATTGATCTGGTTGAAGAAGTCAACAGCTGCAAAGCATTTAAATCATTCATTATTACTCTGCAGTTTAATTGCAAACAAACTTCCTACAGCCTGAACTGTAAAACATATGCTGCTCAAAAGGGTCCTGGATTATTTTTCATGATAGAACCTCATTAATACTTCTTTGTAAGATGTATTAGAAAGAGATTCAGAACACCAGTTCTTGGTTGCAAGAATTCTTTAACTGTTCACTATAGCAAAATCTTAATTAAAAAAAAAAAAAGGAAAAGGGTAAGAGAAAGCTGTCATTTACTCTTCTAAATGTTTGGTGTATTTTATTAGAACCCCAAATTCTCCTTGCAGGTCCGTTAACAACAAAAAAAAAAGTGTAAACTTTGAAGTACAGCAACTGTTACCCATTTGTTGACCCTGATATCCTTCAGGCTTTCTATTCCAAAAGACTGTCTTTCCAATGAATATTTATGCTATGCTAAAACAAAAAATGGGTGGTGAGGTGTGGGGGTATGTAAGGCATATGGTTACAACATCAAGTGACTTCTATTCCTTTGGTTAGTTAATTAACACAAATTAATATTTAGTTTACAAAGTTTCCTCACTTATAAACCATCCTTGGATATTTCTGTTGAAGAGTAACTGTAAATTTCAGCAGTAGACTGCTTAAATTAATTACTGAAATAAAAGGCCAGAAGTGAACATATCTAATAACTCCCACTGTTCTCACTACTGTAAATAGATGCTCAAGCACTTATTGCTCTTCAGTGATCTTGCAGCAGATAAAGTTTTTAGGAATCGTGTGATCAGTTTTTAAAAGCCCACTTCAAACTCCCTCCAGAGAATGGCCCCCCTGTGCACCTGTTAGAGAGCACAGCACGTACCAATAATTAACAATGTCATAGGTTAAAATAGGTTAAAATTGAAGAGGGACCAACACTGAGCTCTAGAAAATTAAAGTTGAATTCTTACCACTAAGAGCTAGGTTCCAATGTAACAATTTTATTAAATACTTCCACCTGCTTCATTCTGCAACCACTCCTGTTAACTTCTGGATGAACCCAAGTAATGCAAGCATACAGGAACCTAAAACTTGTGTGAGCAGCTTTGATGTCCTTACTCATCTATCTCATCTTTCATCATGTGCAGGGATGAAATTCAGCAATAACATGAAAACAAAAAGTAAGTGTGGTAGAGCTCAACTCCTATTTAACTACAGTGCTTTGCAAATTTAACCATTCCACTGACATGCTCTCACCCTGAAAGAAACCACAGATGAAGTATAAATGGCCTGAACGCCCCAGTGCTCAGTCTGCACTATATTGCTTCTATTGCTTTGACACCAGGCCTTCCACTTCTGACAAAAGGAGCCTTTCCAGATACAATTTTGCAATCATATCCGAAAGGCTGATCCTCACAATGGGAAACTGGTACATAGACTGAGCTCAGCATGACTTCAGACTTAAGTTTACATCAGTACTACCTATGCAACGCCTGCCAATACAGAGTGCCAGTGACAAACTGTTTCAGCAGTAGGTAAATAGACACATTTGTCTTAACTTAAAAACTGACATCTTTAAAGTCACTAGTTCCAGAATTGAGCAGTGAATACTCATATAAGCAATGTGCAGGACCGGTGGAATGGACATGCAGTCCTCTCAATCTGGTGCTATGCCAAAGAGCAGCCAGAGCCCTACTTTGCAGTCAACCCAAATTTGCATTCTTTGCTTACATCTATAGAAAATTACAGTTATGTTTAATGAGATGTAAGTTGACATCTTCACTGTAAACACTAGTTGATACTGTATGCTATTAAAGTAAGCGATGGCTAAGGGAAGGAGAGGGCTAAATATGGTATGTATCATCACTGATTATTCAGGAACGTAAACATCTAAGATTACATGCACATCACAGCAGCAAATCCCAGCTGCTGCTCAGCAGATGCAAGATATTAAGCTACAACTGCACCACATAATTTCCCAGGTACCAAAAGGGGGAAGTACATAAAAACCACTATGGCAGGCACCTGCTGCATTTCATTTCCAGCAACAAAACATGTCTTTCCCTTGCAAAGCAACAGCAAAAAAATGGTATGACAACATTGAGAATGGTTGATAAAGTTACAGATGACAAGGAGGGCTTCTAAAGCCTCTCTGGATGTGCAGTGGGAGCACACTGCCCACAGCACTGTGTGACATTCAACGCTGCGGAGGCAGCAAGAAGCAGTTAAATGCAGCCATTGTTTTTTTGTGTGTGTGTATACACAAGAACTGTTAATTAAGTTTCCAATTGCTGCTCCCAGTAGAAACCACAGACCAGCATTTGCTTTGGGGCAAGCGCGTTCAAAAAACCCACACAGGCTTTGACAAGATGACTGATTATTGCAGATCCCACATTTGCGAGTCTCAAAATGCCTTGAGACACATCACCCATCCACCACAGTCGGCAGTGTCCGACAAACAAGGAAAAGGCAAGATCCTCTTTCCCAACATCTGTAAAGCAGTACAGCGCCCTTTCACATTTTCGTTTCCTCTTTTTACTCACGGTTCTTAAGTTTTGAGGGTTTAGGTTACTTTTTCCACATGCTTTTCTACTCTAAGTGCACAGTGTCTGGTATACATTTTAATCTGCTACAAGCATAGAGGTGAACTGTACTTCTGAAGTGCTTTTTTAATAGTTTCTAATCAAGAAGTCAAATAAAAATAAACTGATTGCACACTTCTCATTTTTCTTTTAAATACACTAACACACTTTTAGAATCTCCATATAAGCCAATTCATTCTCATAAAGCATCTCTACGGTTAGGAGTTAAGCAAGTAGCAGTGGAGCACATTCCTCCTGTGCTTTTACTGTGTGAAGTCTTACACTTCCTTTCTTCATTACGTATCTCCATCAATGGAAGAGGCTCACAGCTACCATTAACTAGTACTAGGTGTGGTAGACGTTGTAAATCAAAGAGCATCTAAGGTGCTACTCACTTCTAAAAAATAAAGAATAAAGGTTATACTCCCCACTGTATTACAAGAAGGCATGAAAGAGGACCACTTCATCAGAAAACGCAGATGTTAGCAAAAGGTAGCTCCCACTCTTCTCAAATGCTTCACTGCCTTTTGCCAGGCAGCTAATTTAGTGGCTAAATCATTTGGGAGATGAAAATACCACCGCCACACAAGAAAAAAGAGCCACGGAATGAAGGACCCCCCAAAAGGGAAGGATGCAAGCAATATCTCAGGCATCATTAGTAATGCTTAGTCATAGAAACAGGCTGGCTCTTTTTCTAGCCAGTTTTGCAGTGTAGTGTGAACAAGTTCGTATAAATAATGGTGTTGGCAGCTTCAACATTCACTGGAAGGAGTGACAGGTTATATCCCACAGTTAAAAAACTCAAAGGTAAAAGTCAGTATGACAGATTATTTCCCAAACATGTCAAAGAACAGAAAGAAACAGAGAACTAAGAACTAAGTAAAACAAGTAATTAGAAGACATTTAGCTTGTAAGTAATTTATACTGCAGTGCACAATTAACACTGTACTTGCAGGCCATGCCACAGACACAAAAGACAAGGAAATACCTAGATAAGGCACAGAGTCTGTGGCAACCAAAACCCCACACAAGCTACAGAGCACAATGCAATTTCAGTTAATCCATTCTCAAAGCATAAGAGGAAGGCAGCAAAATCATGCAGCAGGGAGAAGGAGAAGGAAACAGTCAGGCAATCAGAATACACCAATTTGGGCCCCACTGTTTGACGTGCTCTTGAATAAAAAAAGAGAGCTAGTAAAAGCAGCTTTAGAAAAGTTAAAAATCAAGAGATTTACCAAAGCAGAGGCTCACAACTTGGTAAAAACAAAAGGAAGGGGCTAATTTTAGGAATACTGCAAAGATCTGTCTCTAGGTTTGCATCAGGCAGAAGGAAAGACAGGCCACACATGTCACTGTAGTCTCAACATTTTAGACCTGGCCCTCACACTTACCTAAATTAAGGTTTTATACTTAGCGTGTAGAGGCTTGTCCAAACTATCAGGTAACAACTTTGGTTGAAGAACTAGCTTAAACATATTAAGACAGCACATACAAGTTCTTTTCTAAAAGCAGCAGTGGCATTTCTACCTTAACACTTCTATGTGATCAAGTGCTCACAATTTAACCACTAAGATTATTTATTTTAAAGACAAGACCATACTTTTGGAACAAGAAGCTTAAGGAGTATTGTCTCAGTGTGTCTCTCAGCATCTGTTAGGTTTAAATGACAGGACATTCTCCTCTCCCCATTGCAACATAGTGCAGAGCAGTGCAAACGTCACTAGAAAGTACACAGCTGTCTTCCCACAAGTATCAGCCCTCATTCAGCACCCTCCTCGTGTAAAAGAGTGAGAGTGTGTGTGTGTGTGTTAGCCAACTTACTGTTAACTGCAACCCATTCATTTAAGTCTTCACCCTCTGGAAGCATAACAGCCATCCTGAGGTTACCACTTCCAAGCGTGGCCTCGGCATGTTTAAGCAGCTCATACTGGTGAGATCCCTCTGGAATGTTCTTCTTTGGTTTGAAGGTTTTGGAAGAGCGACTGCCACTGCGAAAGGGAGAGGAAACATTTAGACAACTTGCAAAAAGGGAAAGGGAAAAAGCAAGCAGTGGACAAGTTGCTCACAAGCACAGTATCAGCCTTAAAACACTTTTCCCAACTTCTATGTTTTCACATCAGAATGTAAATTTAACAAAAACTGGGATGCCAACACAACAGGTGCTTTGACTCGCTTTGTTTAAGCCAATTAAATCATCCTTTGCTCCCTTGCCTTCTCATCTGTTCACCAGCTGGACATTTGGGAACATTCAGCTTCCCTTCCCCTTTTCTCAGTACACTGGATCATAGGCAAGATGAGACCAGAAACATTTCCTTCTCCAGACTTTGCACAGCCACATATGAAGACTACAGCACCCAACCAAGAAGAATCCTTCTCTATTCCAAATAGTCATGAAACTTGTTATGGTAATAAAAGTTATCAAATAACAGGAAAAAAAACCAAAACCACGTGCATTCTAAAGCATCCATTTTCAAGAGACACAAAATAGCATCCTACCTGCAAAAGTATACTAAAATGGCAGAGCCAGCTTGTTCAGATTACTGCAATTTTACAGCTAGTATGGTGTGTTAAGTAGGTACTACAAATTTCTTGAAAATAAGCTGCTGTTATCTAGCAACGCATACTTTCCACAGGCCTGGCTGATTCAGAACAGTATCTTAGCTACCTCAGTTCACCAGCAGCGCATTAGATCCAAACATAAATGTCAAAAGGGGGATGGGACAGCTAAAAATGGCAACATGAAATACATTTTACAACTATCTGGTATTGCTTAGGAACTTAACTTTTAAGGAACAGCTGCTCAAAAACAGGCTCTTTATCTGAAGGATACACACTTTTCACAAACTTTCTACACCACTTTCCTCTGGTTTCACAGCACACAGACCTTTCAGTCCACCAGTCTGACAAGAAATATGGATGGCGACTTCCACAACTTTCGCAGAGGTCATCTTACCAGCCTTAGTTTTGTTTGAACAATAGGGGCTGACGTGGGATAAAATGTTGATACTTAAATTTTAAATGATGGCAGTGAGCCTGGATAGCACGTTGTTCCCTCACACGTCAGAAACATGACATGCAAAAGTAAATATCTGAAAATAAATGCAAAATGAGCCATGTTTGTGAATGTTTCAGCATACAAACTGAGAAAAAAAATGTTGGGAAAGGAAAATTGAGCTCTCAATTCCAATGAAGGAAGCAGAAAGAAAGGAAACTCAAGGTAGCTAAATTTTCATTACAAACATTGCCCAGCTCTTAATTCTTTATACAAGTCTGCCCATTTTTCACCAGCCCCCCACAGAGCTGAACACAGATTTTTGTCAACAGGGGTAAGGGTACTCTCAGGTTCACTGGATGTCTGAACATGAAGGGCTGTAGTTCATCTTTGAGGAAACTCCAGTACAGCTACCTGGTCATACACAAGCACTCCAAGAAATTTGTTACATGGAATCAAAGAACAACCCCAGCTGGAAAAACTCCAAGGACCATCAGGTCCATCTCCTGGCTCCACACAAGACCATCCAAAAACCAAGCCCTATGTCTACAGCATTGCTTAAAACCTTGGAGCCATGACCACAGCCATAAGGAGCCTGTTCCACACCCATTGTCCTCTGGTGAAGAACCTTTTCCTAATATCCAACCTATTTTGCATTTCATTTTCCCCAGTACACGACACTACAGCCATCAGCTGAAAACTAACAAAAGATGACTTGTCTCTACAATTGTACATGCCAATGGCTCCAGCAGAGATACAATGCACACAACAAAAATTTTTCTTTCCAAAACACAACAGGTGATCAAGAAAAATCAAATGCCAAGCACATGACAAAAAATGCCTTCAGTTTGGTTACATCTGGAATTTGGTTACAGCAGCGGAAGAAGAAAACATAATAAAATAGGAGATAAACATGTTTCCCAGTTGTTGGCAGGGGCAAGGTAAATACCATCTTTGCAGGTATGGAACAGACGAGTCTTTACACGGCCTCAGACTTCAACTCTCCCTTGCCACAGCACAGCAGCACCCTCCATCCTGTAGGCCTCCAGAGTAATCCTGTTTCCTAACTCTCATAAGGAAACACTTTGCTGGACTAAAAGTGACCACGGGATGGTAGAGCTGAATGGGCCACGTTCATTTTCAAGGCGAGACTGGATAAGGCCCTGGGCAGCCTGCTCTAGCTGTGGTGTTCCTGCTCTCTGCAGGGGAGTTGGACTAGATGGCCTTCAGAGATCCCTTCCAACTCTAAGGATTCTATGACTCTACAGTTCATACAGACACTACATCAATACTGAAGGACATCAAAGGCAGTCAGCTACAAAATGCACCTAAGAGCCAGTAGTAGGAAGAGGAAACACACGGCTCCCATTGCATTCTGCTACAGGACACTTCTAACACGTGACCAGTCGTTTGCATTACACCCCAAGCAAGGATACCAGATTCAAATCTTAAATAAAATAATTGCCTCCCTGTGGGAGGGAGGAGCTACTGTGGCACAGGGAGTTGCCTTCCCCTTCCACTCCACAGCCACCTGCATTTGCTGCTAGATCAGGCTCAAACTCAATCAGAAGAAAAGGCACTTGTTAAAAACAAATAAAAATTTAAAAAATAAATAAATCAGAATGCTTAACTGTCTGCTTAGAGGTGCAGGTTTTCTTCTTCAGGAACACACAGCCACCAGGCCAAAACTGGGAGTAACAACACAATTTAAAGCATCTGGCAAACATTTTGGTGTACGTCTGCACAGACAGGGCTGACGCAAGGCAATACTCACAGCAACTGAGGGCCAAGAGAGACAAGTATCATTACCTACCCACTTGTGTCAGTGTAAGCAGAAGAAAACGAGCACAAGATAAGGGCATGCATAGCACTTCCAGACCTGTTCAGAAGATTCTGCTCTGCGTATTGTAATACGACAGTGAAGGAATCCTGCTGGAACACCACTCTATGGCTCAGGTCATTCATTCACCATCTAACAGAAAGGAAAATAAGATTCCCTTTCCTATCAGTTTACATAGCTTCTCTAATTCCTAAAACCTAAGTCTAAAATCTAATGTGCAGCAGTATCTCTTCCATAATACTGTCCTCTTCATATGGGTATGATGACTGAAGAACTTAACTGCTGTAACTGGTCTGGTGTCATTGCCTAAGGCAACATCTACAGCCTCATTACAGAGGCTACTAGAAGATGGAACACTCCAAGTGCTATGAGAAAAGCTCAGTCCAGACAGTGGGAGGACTTAACAAAAGGATTCCAATCATAAAGAGCAGCATCCAGCTTCAGCAGAAAATCTTTGTTCAGGGAGAGGAGGTGCTATAAAAACGCACAAAGCAGAAGCTAGTAAAAAGTTAGTTTGTAACTCACCTAAGTGTTACTGGATGTTAACAGAGGTTAGACAGGAAGAGTGAGCTTTAGAGAACCAAGCACAAGGCAAGCACTGGAGGGAACTCCCTAAATAGCGCAGCCTATTTTGAGAAAACTCTGGGTAAGAGTTCACACCCCAGATTGTGAGATGGCAAGATAACAAATGAAGTCATCATAGGTCAATGGAACACCCAGCAGAGACCTCCTATGGTCAAAGAAGCAGAGAGTGCACAGCACGTTGGAAAATCAACAAGTATCACTTAATCCCTGCTATCCCATTCCCACATACAGGTTTGTTTGTTCTTTTCCATTAGCAAAATCTCTAACAGGATACACAACGTTTGGTGTCAATTCTCCCAAATAAGCCACCTCCTATTTACATATCTCTATCTGCCTCCATTACCTATCTGATTCCTGCTTCTCTAATCCAGCACAGACATCCTAAGACAGCAGGAAGTGGCCTCACGCGAAAGGCAGGCAGACAGGCATCCCAAAGGAAAAGCAATTAGGATAAATGCAGGCTGCTAGTAATCCCATGCTATGGAAATATCCACAATTTTGGCAATGCATTATCAGAATTCCATGCATTTGTGCAGTTCACATGTGAAGTCAGTTAACTGCACACATGCTCACACTCTCCTTAATACAAAGTTCAGGGACACAACTGTTTCTCTAAGCCAAACCTCTTATCAGCTAAGTTTGCTCTTCAGCAGTCTAGTTCTAAATGCTGCTGCAAACATGGGTTCAGCTACGTTATTAGTTCAGTAGCTCTCCTCCTCTTTCACCAAAGCCATCCCCACTGATTTCTGTCTCAGCACCATCAGCCAAACAACCCTCTGAATGGCAACACTGCTTTCTCCCTAAATCCTGAGCACAGCAGCATTTTATTCCTGCATGATGATTCCCAATGCTGAGATGAAAGCTTCTTATAGGGGCGGGGGAAATGTTTTTTTTTTTTAATTTCTTCCTTTTATGTCATTCTATTACAATATGGCAGAATTATAGTCTTCTTGTTCTATATCTATTTTTCCAACTTCTTGGGTGTAAAGTGGAAAGCTTAACTTTCCAAAGTTCAGTTTGGTGGCCAATGACACACACGGTAAAGCAAGGCTCCATCAAGTAGGCATCTACATCATAACAGAATTAGCTGCAACCCTGAACCATTCCTTCTGATAACTTACAATGGAAAGGCCACACCTGCCTTTCCCTGCTGAGAGCCTCTGAACTCACCTTCAGCTGCAAAGCATCACATTAACTCAGATGTATAATGAGACAGAAAACTCAAAAACGCCACACTGAAGATCCCACTTTCCTAGGACAGGAAAAGCTCATGAAAAGGGGAGAACGTTGCATTAGACCCACTATTTCTCACAAGCAATTCCCAGACTCGCAGAAAGTAATGGCTTCTCAAAAATTCTTTCAATTCCACGGACGTTTTGCTCTCTTTACTCCCGCATCCAGCATTTCCAGCAAATTATGTCCTTCTATTTTTAAAGGTAAGTGCAGCTACAGCAGTGCCAGATGCAGCTCACCCTAGCACTAAATCACGGAATGTGCTCAAAGCAATTACTCACAGTGCCAGGACAACTCTGAAAGCCTGGCTAGGAAGCCACACGTCTGAGCCACACGGAGCACTTCCCACTGTCAGGAGCCCACACGCTGCTCAGCCCCACCATGACATCACGTCGTGCTTACGAGCAAGAACCAAATTTCCTCCAAAGCTGTAATTTTATCTTGCCGTCTGCTGACAGGGAGCATTTTTAATGATGCAGATTCTGCAGCCTGGCCTGCGTAGGGTTTGCAGAACGATGCTTCCAGAAAGGAAAACATTCAGGCGTTCTACTTCCACCACACTTACCAGCCTGCCTCACAGCCCACTCCAGCTTCAAACGCAGCACTGGCAAATCCTTTAAAATCCAAGCAGCTAAACATCCAACTCAACCTCCTGGTATGTTTTTTGTTTTGATTTGTTTTTAACTGGGGGAAACTTAAACTTTCACATTCCCATAGGAAGCACTTTGGCTGGCCTGCCTTAGACCTCCACATACTCAAGATATTTGTTCATTAGAATGCCAGAGCATTTTACCTACTTCTACAAGGCCTACTGCATCTCCACAGAAAGCTGAATTAAAACAGAAGAGTCCTTACATGTAAAACTTAAGAATTCACAGATTGTTCTTAGCACAGAGTCACCCACAGAGTCACTACCACTGCAACGTGGACCGTGCTCCAAAGTCCTCCTCAAATCCTACTTACATGATCAAGTCCAGACCAAGTTTTCCCTTAATTCATGTTCATTAGAGCACCTAAAGCCATATAAAACATGCAGTCACTACGTAATCGGCAAAATAGATGGAAAAGAGAAGATACCAACATGAAGATAATACAGAACAACCTAAAAATTCTTCTTTTTCCCCTGCTCACCTAAGCACACATCATGTGCAGAACTGACAAGTCTTCCAAGAAATTAAAATCTTATTTTAAAATATCACAACTATTTCACATCCCTGGAAAGTAAAGACAGCATTGCTTCTACAGTATGTTAGAGGCTAAGAACACAGTGCTACAATTACCATAAATCATTTCATACAGGGCTCATCAATGGACTGGTTTATCAAACACTGGAAAGGACAGAAGCTCGCCCCAGGGAAGAACAACTGGAAAATGCTGCAGTGGCCCCTTTTTCAGGATAAGCCTGCTACCTGTACATACTGCTGAGGCCGTGGGGTATCATCTTTCTTTCTTTCCTCCAAGTAACAAACCACTGGAGGTAATGCTATATAACTTTGTGTCTCCTGAAAGTGTTCACCACCACAGTCCATCTGAAATAAGTCCCTCCAAGCATCTGGACATGCTCAAGAGATTTGGAAAAAGCCAAATTCAAGTCAGCACACAGAACATTTCTACCTGGGGCATGGAAACTTTTCATATTTCAAATCCTGCTTCTTCATCTTCAAAGGCCTTCCTAAGCATTAATCAATCCTACAAAGCATCTTTGAAGTAGGCATCATCAGTGTCTTGCTATACACAGGGAAACTGAGGCAGAGACTCACTGCTGCAGGCCAATGAGTGCACTTAGCAGGGAAGGCCCAGGTTTTAGCCAAGCACCTCCCTACTCCCAACATGCCTCTTTTTAAACTCCAAGACACAGAAACACTGTAAGGCAAGAACTAAATTCCAGAAAAGCAAGCATTTCAGGCCTTCAAACAATAACAATGGGTTTCAAATTAAAACATTCTGCTAAGAATAGACATATTGGAGTATGACCATATTAGTTTCCAATAGCCAAGATGCCAATACAGAAATTAAAAATAAAAACCTCTAGCTACTTTTTAGACAGCAAATCAATCGTTTCAGAATGTAAAAGCTTATTCTTTATGACAATCACAGCATCAGAAGGATAGCAGGTAAAAATCAAATTGTACATGTTCAAAATCTGCACTGACAAGATTTTACTTGAGCATTTCTATTTATAACAAAGAGTAGTCACAACGTTTCTGTTCTGAAGACAGAAGGTGTGCAAGCCAGGCATTGCTTTCCTCAGCTTCTGTAATACCAAAAAGTCAATTATTTTCCAGTCTGATTCCCACCTATTAAAATGAGCACGTCTCATCATTCACTTCAATCTGGAGGCACCAAAACCTACACAAGAATTCAGGAAACAAGTATTCTACAACTCACATTCCTTTGACGTGCCACTACACAGCAGGTGTGACAAAGAACCACCAGCCTACGGCAGACAAAGCCAGCAAGGAAGCTTCCATCCTGTGGTCAGAAGCTACATGTGCAACAGGACAGAGAAATGAGTGCTTCAGCCATGCTCTGGGGCAAGATGAGAAACCTCAGAGCCCAGCTATGCAAGAGCTACACAGAGTCTTGCAAACATCGGTCTAACATCTGGATACTACTTCCCATGAGGATTACCAAGGATTGAGGATTCAAGGCCAGGTTGGAAGGGGCCCTGGGGAGCCTGATCTAGTGGCTGATACCTAGCCCATGGGAGGGAGATGGATTCGGGTCGACCTTAAGGCCCCTTCCAATCTAAGCCATTCTGTGACCACAGGATCAGGCAAATGGCTTCAAATGAGATATGGTGCTATCAGAACAGCCAGCTCCAGTTTAGAAAACTTAGAAAAAAGAAAGTGCTCCAAGACATTCCAATACTGCATTACAATTCAACATTAAGAGGCAGTTCAATGCAGTCCAAGAGTTAAAAGCCAGCAAGTGTATGTATAAACAGAGACTGGAAGTGCACAAGCTGATAGCTCTCGTTGGAAAGACCTCCCTCTGCATACATTCTTCAGACACCATCACTGTTATGATTCTGAACACCAGCAAAAGCAATACACTTGCAGAGAGCATTCCCACCTCAGAAAAATAACTCTCACAAATGTTAAGCCATAAAAAGAAGAATTGTCTTTCCATGGAGGGCAACGTAAACTCTGCCAAGATCACTACGGAAATTGAAGCAGCCCGTCTGGAAAAGAGTTAAGAGTTGCCAACTCCTCACACAACACAGCAGCTCTCTCGAAACATAAGGCAGTGGCAGGAAGGTAATTCCAAGCCCTGGGTTTTGTTGCTGTTGGCTGTTTGTTTAAGGAAGAACCGGTTGCACTGATTTGAATAATTTCTACTGCCACATGCTCATTCCTACAGGTACAGAATACACATTGTTTATTATTTATACACACTGTTGTATAACACGGTAACAGAAAATGATCAGTTGCACACAGCCAAAGTTTCCCAGTCCAGCGAGCAGAAGATATAAGAATAACTTAATTGTCTACTCCACCACTGACAGCAATTAGAGACGTCATGGTGAGGGTGCCTGAGAAGCGCCTTTTCCCAAAGCTAACACCACACCTGGGAGATGCACTCTTTGTGAGGAATGTCTGTGTCAGTAGCTCACCTATCACCCACATCGCAGGCAGTCACCCAGGCTACAGAAGGCTGTTGCCACACACTGTAACCCACACAGAGAAAGCCAAGTCCAGGCCTTCCAGCTTCAGCGCACTCCTTCTGCAGCACTGTGCTTAGAAAAGCTCCATGGAATATCTTTCCTCCTAAAAGCCCAGGTCCTTGAGCAGAGCAGTCTAAAAAGAAATTCAGATTTAAAACAATAACAGTAAAAATAGCCAAGGTTAACAGTCCCAAAACACAAAGGTGGGGAACCTTTCAGAAGGAAAAAAAGGAAGGAAAAAGCATAGTTTCTAACACTTGTTTTGTTGTTTGCTATTCTTTTAAACCACACTTAAAAATGCACAAATCTAAAGGTTTCTTCATCTAAAAATAAAATATCACAGACCAGAGGGATTTAAAACAATACCCTGATTTTTCAGCACATGGAACTCACGATGCCTGCAAAACAGTGCAGGCTGTTCCTAAAAGGAGTGCTTCTTTCAGTGTCTAGAAATGGGGTAAATACAAATCCAGTCAAAATCCCACATCCAACTTTGCTCTTCTCAGTGAAGTACTGCTACTCGTCCTTTCCCATCCTTTCTTTTCCTTTGCTGGACTGTGGAATAAGCTATGTTTTCAGCATGCTTTTTAACCCAAACATACTTTTCAAGAGGTATATAGTAACCTGTTTTCATTTTCATTTGTTTTTTTTCCCCTCAGCAACTGATCTGAAATGATTCTTCTACCAAAGGAGAAAATACTGTTTTCTGACAGTGGAATAGGTATTTTTTAACGAGCTTTTAATTCTCTGTCCATCAAGACAGGAACTAAAATCTTGCTCCCTTTTGTTGGAAAATCAACTATCTTCACAGTGTAACGTCTTACACAGGATGAGATGTGAGGAGGCAGATCAAAATGTCATAATCTTATCAATAATCTTACAAACGAAAAAAACACAGGTCGCACTATACACAAGTCTCTACGTGTTAAAAAAGTTTCTCAGATGATTCACATCCAGTAAGGCTACCGAGGGCAGCCTTAAGGAATGGTTTTGCTTTTTCTTGCCCCAACAATCACCATTCAGTGTTGCAAGCTGTCATAACACATACACTTCACAGTTTTGAAATGCTCTTTTTTCTTTCTAGAAACATATTTCACAGTTGGTGAAATTGAGTAAATTCAGGGGCGGCCCAGCATAAGCTGGCTGCTGTTGACATGCACCAGAACACAGCTGAAAAGGCGCTCCTGCCATCTTTCCTCAGAAGGGGCCAGCTGAGCACAGCACCTAGGGACTGGTTCTGGGGGATGGCCCTTCAGTTCAGCTCTGCTTCCGCACCCTGTGCCTCCCCTGCAGTGGTGCCCTTGGAGTCAAGCCCCAAAGGTATTCCATGGCCACAGACGTAGAACAAGGCACCTGCATTTCTCCACTGCTCCTTGCCTCTGTTTTTCCATCCGGGAGCTCAATGTGCCTGCGAACAAGGGGGAAGGTACTGTGCTACAATGCTCCTGCCTAACACCACCCCACACACATCGGTGGCAATGGTGTTCTGGCAGTTCATCCAGTGGGACGTGGCTTACTGCAATTCCTAACACAAGAAAGAGGGAAGCCTCCAGAACACCATCCCATAACTAGGAAGTCATCATCAGTTTGCTATGCTTGCAGACCAATTCCCTTGTTTCACATACAACATGTTCATTTAATAAGCTTTCATCTCCTGGAAAGCTCTCAAAACAAACAAGACAATCAGAGCAGTACACTACTCACAAACACAAACTACTTCCCAGAGCATCCAATGGTCATAGAAGTGACTCAGCCTGAAGGACTAACAGCAGTGCTGCACAATGCAAGGAGGGGGACAGCGCAGAGACAGGGAAAGGAGAATGACAAAGAATCCATTGGAGAGGAATTTGGATGAAATGAAAGCAGTACGACGCTCAGCCATGTGTGTCCTGCAGACTTGCAAAGACAGACAGGGGCCAACAAG